TTAAGACGGGTGGACTTCAACTCCCAGAATTCCCCAGCCAGCATCCTTTTAAGACGGGTGGACTTCAACTCCCAGAATTCCCCAGCCAGCATCCTTTTAAGACGGGTGGACTTCAACTCCCAGAATTCCCCAGCCAGCATCCTTTTAAGACGGGTGGACTTCAACTCCCAGAATTTCCCAGCCAGCATCCTTTTAAGACGGGTGGACTTCAACTCCCAGAATTCCCCAATCAGTCAGCTTTTAAGACGGGTGGATTTCAACTCCCAGAATTCCCCAGCCAGCATCCTTTTAAGACAGGTGGACTTCAACTCCCAGAATTCCCCAGTCAGCTTTTAAGATGGGTGGACTTCAACTCCCAGAATTCCCCAGCCTGAAACTTTACACAACCCACCAGAAGGCAGAAAAAATAAAAAGCTTTATTTTGAACACGGATCTTTACACAGCAAGAGTTTGGGTTGAATGAGTGAGAACCTTATCAGGGACCTGAGCTGTGTTAGCAATCCCAGAACGTTAAATTTCAACCACATCTATTTGTCCCCCCCAAAACACCCCCTTTTTTTAAATACAAAAGGCCATTGGGCCATTAATACATATGATCATCCTGGGCCTCCCAAGCCACAATCCCCTTATTCCTCAGCCAGGGAAGCTAAGCAGATATGGATATATATGAACCAGCCTTCCTGGTTCAAACCCACCACCACCAAGATAACCAATGGAGGCGGCAAGAGGCACCCCCCCTCCTCCAATAATACCCCAAGCACCCACTCACCCAAAACAACTTATGCATTTCTGCTTGCAAATTAACAAGATACCTAATTTGGAAGCTTTCTTTACAGTAAAAATCTAAATCAGGAGTCCCCAAAACTTGGCAACTTTAAGACTTGTGGATTTCAACTCCAAATCAACTTTAAATCAAAGCCCATGGATCTTCTTCCCTTTCCCCAGCTAGGCACCCCATTCCGTGGCCTTTAGAGTGCAAAATAAAGTCTAAATACAAAATACTTATTTTTGATTTCGGAAAGCCAAGAATTGTTTAGCGGTTTCCCGGCTGCTCTGTCGCGTGGCCTTCCTTCCCAAACCTTCCCCTATAGCTTAAGAGAGCTACGGCTCTCCTAAAGTTGGCGTGATCTTTGGATTAGAGGAGCTTGCCTTTACGGGGCACATCTGGCCCCAAGGACCACATCCTTATTTAAAGCTGCGTCGCCTCCATCCTGGAGAAAGGCGAGATTGAGAATTGGACACGTTCGGTGGGACTCGGTGGCGCTTCCTGAATTTCACTCTCTGGCCACGCCGACCTACAGCAGCCGGTTTCACATCCTCTTCCTTTATTTCTTCTTTTTGTTGCCCCGTTTAGACCAGCGCTGGCCTCCTCCTCCTCCTCCTCCTCTTCCTCCTCCTTCTCTCCTCTTCTCCCAGGTGGGCATGGGGGCCTCGATTTCGTTTGGACGTCCTCCCCGGTCTGGGACGCTGCCCGTCATCAAGATCTGTGGGAGGGAGGGAGAGAGGAAAGGAAGGAAGACAGGAGAGAGATGGAGAAGAAGGAGGGAGGGAGGGAGGGAAGGGAAGACAGGAGGGAGACGGAGAAGGAAGAAAGGAGACAGAATGGAAAAGGGAAAGGGAGAAGAGGAGACCAGAGGGGAGAGGAGAGGAAGGAAAAGAGAAAAGGGAAAGAGGAAGGGAAGACAGGAGAGAGGGAGAAGGAAGGAAGGAGACAGAAGGGAAAGGGAGGAGAGGAAAGTGGAGGGGAGAGGAGAGGAAGGAAAAGAGAAAAGAAAGGGAAAGAGGAAGGGAAGACAGGAGAGAGGGAGAAGGAAGGAAGGAGACAGAAGGGAAAGGGAGGAGAGGAAAGTGGAGGGGAGAGGAGAGGAAGGAAAAGAAAGAGAGGAAGGGAAGAGGAGAGAGAGGGAGAGGAAGGAAAGAAAGGAGAAGACAGAATGGAAAAGGGAAAGGGAGAAGAGGAGAGGGGAGGAAGGAAAAGAGAAAAGGGAAAGAGGAAGGGAAGACAGGAGAGAGGGAGAAGGAAGGAAGGAGACAGAAGGGAAAGGGAGGAGAGGAAAGTGGAGGGGAGAGGAGAGGAAGGAAAAGAAAGAGAGGAAGGGAAGAGGAGAGAGAGGGAGAGGAAGGAAAGAAAGGAGGAGACAGAATGGAAAAGGGAAAGGGAGAAGAGGAGAGGGGAGGAAGGAAAAGAGAAAAGGGAAAGAAGAACCGAAGACAGAAGAAAGAGGAAGAAAAAGGAAGGAAGGATAGTGAAGGGAAAAGAAAAGGAAGGGGAAGAGAGGAGGAAGGAAGACAGGCTGATGGGAGGGGACACCAGCATCCTCCCCCCCTCGGCCTCTCCACCCCAAGATTCCTTTTAGTTGTAAAATCCGCGTTGTGCAGTCTGTTGAGTGAACCGCGGGGGGCTGGCATTGGGTCCTGGGCTAAGCCGTGAAAAGCTTGAAACCCCCTTGGGGTCCTCCTCCTCCTTCCCCCTCCAGCTGTTGGGGGCCCAGATGTCCCCTCCAGCTCATACCTTGTTGACGGCACAGCTGGTCTTACTCCGCAAGGCCCCACTGCTGGTCTTCACGATACGAGAAAAGTCCTCGCGGGCAGCCAGCAGGTGGGCAAGGGAGAGCTGGGAATCTTCCGGCAA